CAGCAGGCTGCGGCTGCGGCTGGGCCTGGCCACTCGTGTCTCTCTCTCGCTGGGAGAGAAGCGGAAGTGCAGTAACAGCAACTATTAAACAGGCAATGGCTTCCCCCAGCCACACACGCTCGCACACACACCACTCCTCCTCCTCCTCGCCCTCACCCCTCCCCCACTCGGCCCGGTCCCACCCACCCGCGTTCCCCTCCCCCTGCAACACCTCGGGGTGGAGGGACGCGAGGAGGACACAAGGGACCCCGGGGAATGCTGCCCCCCTCCCTACCCACACCCCCACCCCAGCGCCTCCAAGGGACGCCCGGGAAGGGGTAAGGGGTGTCAATTTTCTCTCAAGTGGTTTGGGGACCGGGATTCTGGGCGGGACAGGGGAAGCCGGTGGAGATGGGGGGGGGGGCGCGCTGGGAACGATTAGAACTAGATGGACTAGGGGGTCGCGAGAGGAAGTTCTTCCCAATGAGGGCTTTTGGGAAGGGCGGGAGGCAGGGAGAAAGGTGGCAAATTGGTGAAAACGATGGTAATCTGGTGTCAAGGACTTTGAACTAGAGAATGCAGCGGGAACTCCTATAAAAGTGATCTGTTTAAAAAGAAAAAAGAGATCCCATAACTGGGGTTTCCTTGCGGCCGGCACTGGCTTCTCCTTCTGGCAATTTACCTGCTAGGAGCAGAGGTCAGTATAGGCACGCCTGTAAGAAAATCCCAAACTAGGAGTTTTCTGCTTAGAGCACGAGACACGTGCAATTTTTACATTAGATTCTCTCAGTCACTTTTTATAGAAAGTGATGTAGTTTTACAAAAGTGATACAAAGGATTTCGTGATAGGTAAAAACAACGTGTGACAGGCTTGCACATGTGAGAAATCATTGGGAATAAGCCATAGACTACTGAATTAGACTGGATTTAGAATTTTGGGTGTCAGTTTGCATTAGATATAAAGTTTGGTTTTTGGAAATTGGATGGAAATTTCTGGGGACCGCTGTCCCTTCTTAGCTACAATATAAATGCTATTCAAATTATATTTTTAGAATAATCACTCAGTAATTCTTCTGAATTGTTCCTTATTTAGCATTTTTACCAAAGTTGATTTTTTAAATATTAAGCCATCAAATGATGATTTGTTTCTCACCTTAGTTGCCACTTCAGTTGAAGGGATCTGAAGAGACGTATGCCAATCAAATAGAACAGTGCCACACATACAAGGTCTTGTACATTAAGGAGACAGCCCAGTCAGACTTCTATGGGCCACTCTAAATTATCTCATTCAAATTGCCATCATTTTCTATGGCAACAGTGGCTTCAGTTACCACAGGACAACACAAACAAGATAGAAAGCCCATGGCATATCCAGTAACCAGGAAAACAAGCATTCTCACTACCCAGCTAAACCCCTCCTAGCCCTCAGCCTGAAACTCCAGTTTTATCAAGACTCATAAAGTAATTGTGCCCACTTCTTGCTCAGTCCTTACTAGGAAACCTACATCTACCAGGAGTTGTCTTAGAATCAAGGAGTTCAAAAGCTGGAAGAAACTTTAAGGTCATTTTTTCAGCCTCCTGCTTCCAGACAGAGATATCCCTCCACCACCCAACTGCATATGGATTTTGGAAAGATCCCCAGACATACCCTTTCTTAGTGTTTGGTTTCAGGAGTCCTGGTAAGGCATATAAAAATGATAATATTCCCTTCTGTAGATATTTGAAAACAAACAAAAAAATCTCCTTAAAAACAGGTTGTAAAAATAGTAAAAAAAACCCAGGTTGTATACTTTTCATACTTCCGATAAAAAAGATATAAACTCAAGACAAAAGAAGCAAACAGATAAACTCAGGATGAGGAGAATAATTTTAAAAGTTATTAAAAATGAGATTTCCTTTTACAAAAACTTGGACTTCTGATACTTAGATATACATGTTTACACTGTGAGTACAACCCGTAAAAAATCATATATATGTAAAGACAAGAGCTGGCAGAGATCACAGGAAAATAAAAGGTTTGATTTGATGAAATGACCAGGACGATAGATGAATTTTTCTTTAATAATGGTTTACATAAATTGTATACTTGGATACTAACTATAATAATTTTAAAAAACAACTGAGCATGGTGTTTTGTGTTTCATTGTTGATGCTTGGTTTGGACCAGTCCCTGGGGAAATAAATTATGAAATCCAAGGGCTCTTCCTATTTAGGGAAGTGCTTTCCCAACCACCTGTCCCTCTAATCTCTAATACACACTAGTTTAGGTTAGTGTTTTATGGTTTTGAAATGACCTGCAGAGGGGGAATAAAAACCTCAAAATGTCTAGGGAAAATCCACTGCTCTCAAAAGGCTAAACTTTATCTCAGATTATTTTAAATATACAGTTATCTTAGGGAAAAAAAATCATTTACATCCTTCTAATTCTTCTATTTATTAACTACAAAGCCTAAGTAGCTAAATTGACCTCCCTGAGCCTGTTTCCTCACCTAGAGAATACTTGTGCTTTACTGACTTGCACGATCCTATGTAAATCGAAGATAAAAGTAGTTTATTAACTGTTATGCCAAGTAAACTATTAATAATTCCACCTTGATTCTGCTTCTCAGGGATTTTGTTAGAATGTGGGGATCCTTATGATTTAGAATTGATGACAAGTATAAGAAACCTTCTAGGACAATAGAGTGAGGGAATCATAGGATTTTATCCCTAGAAGGTGCCTAAGATATCTCCTAGTTCACACTCATGTTACAGATCAAGAAATCAAGGGAAAGAAAGCTGGTATGTCTTATCCAGGGTCATGCAGAAAATCGGTGACAAAACTGTGATTGTGACCCATGCTGTCCGCAGATGATATTGTCAGTTCTGGAAATATTGGGGTGGGGGAAAAGCCTCAATTACATTGGAGAAAAATATATTAAACGTGAAAGAACTCTGATAATATTTTCAAGAATATATTAATAGGCTGGCCGTTTAGCTCAGTGTTAAAACACCAAGGTCAAGGGTTCAGATCCCCATACCAGCCAGCTGCCAAAAAAAAAAAAGAATATGTTAACAATCAAGACATAGTTGGTAAAGTGGGAAGACGGAAGGAAGCTTTTTGTAATATTTACGTGAACAAACTAATGGCCACTACTGAAGTTTCCCACCCTCCATCCTGAGAATAATCCCCATTCGTTTACTTTACATTTGTGGATATATTTTAAATAGGTAATACATTTTCATGCTGTACTATTCTAGAGAAACCAGGGGGTATGCCACAAAATATCATTTTGCCCCTTGTCCCACCCCCAATTTCCCTTGGAGGAAGCACTTTTATGTTGTAGTCTCTGTAATGTGCAAGCAAATGCATACATATAACATTGAATGTTGATTAGAATGCTCAATTTGTATTTTAAAAATGCATGCAGTCACAGAAGCCCAAATGGCATAGCATTGTGACATCTTGTGGGCTTTGAGAAAGTGGGCTTCAGTTTTTACTAGTACCTATTCCTGGTTCTCAAAATGATCCAACTCTCTTTTTAAAGTCATCTTTAGAGTATCAAGTACTTTTAAGTAGAGGTACTTGAAGATCAAGGTGCTAGCTGATCCCTAGGAGGTGAAATGATACAGTTGATTAGAAGAGAGAGACCCAGTCTAACTTTTGAGCACTCCTGTTTATGTCCTGTTGCTGACACTGAAATTCAAGTATATCATAAAGATGACCGTTCTCTGGCCAATTTCATGTCCAAAGAATTGTCAAGCAAATAATACTTGTTAATATCATTTTTTAAACTTACCTTATGGTTCAATAGAAAGGATTTCCTTTTTCTGTCAAAAGAAAAAAAAATCTTGTGTTTGGAATTTAAAAAGAACTTATACAAAGGCTTTCTGGAGAAGATGGACTCATTGTGGATTTCAGTCTACTTGTTTCACTTTATAATGC